TGACGTCATATAAATATTTAAAGCCTTGAGAACTGAGCGACCAAGGGAGTGACAGCTGCAGGAGAGAACGCGAACAAGGTCTGTGCCCAGGACCCTTCAGTTTAAGAAGTCTGAGACTACACACCACAGTAGACCGCAAGGTCTGAGCATGAGCAGAAGTCTCAGGCTTTCCCGTGCTTGGGAATCCCTGGACGGCACCCTGACATGCAGGTGTGTGGAGTCAAGTGTGAGATCTCCATGTACGACAGCTGCTGCTGCTGCTGGTCTGCAAATCTCAGGCCAGGGTTTCCAAGCTGTGGCTCGGTGTCTCCTGTAAGGTGTACTTCATAAGATTCCTGGACTCTGCACAAAATTCTGGCACAGTGAGTCTGGAAGAGGCCTGAGCGTTTTGCAAGCAGCCGGCCAGCAATCCTGGGGCTCAGACAGACGGGCGCCACTGATGTTAGTGGTCAGAGTGCCCAGGGCGGTGCCCGGAGCCACAGTAAAAGCGCCCCTCTCCTTGGGGAAGGAGGGCAGAGCTGATCATGAGATGAATGTTGGGAGGTAAAGGTCACTTTCTCTTCCAGGAGGACAACCACAGGGAGGATTCAGGAAGCGGCTCTCAGCTTGGGACAATGTAAGTCTCAGTTGCTGCTCTCTTGGAACCACTGCCCAGGCCCATTTTTTACCCATCTTATCAAAAACAGTGGAATGCAATACGATGACTTCAATTCTTTAGAAAATATGGTATTTATACACAATTGAGGACTATTCTGCAATAAAGAAAGAAAAGCTTGAGGGCTTCCAGGGCAAATGGACACAACTTGAGAATATCATATTAAGTGAAGTAAGTCAGACACACAAGATGAAATATCGGCCGGGGATATAGCTCAGTGGCATAAGTGCCTGCCTAGCAAGTGCAAGGTCCTGAGTTTGATTCCTGGTAACAAAAAACAACAACAACAACAAAAAAGAATGTAAAAGATGAAATATCATATAAGAAACTCAGTATGTACACACATATAAAAAGTACCCACGCATTGTGGCGCAGGC